GTGTACATATTTTAAAATATTCTTTTCTAAAGATTTTTTTAATTTTATTTATTTTAGAGAAAGTGTGAGCAGGGAGGGGGCAGAGGAAGAGGGAGAGAGAGCTGAGCATGGGGCTCCATCCCACAGCCCTGAGATCATGACCAGAGCCAAAATTAAGAGTCAGAGGCTTAACTGACTGAGCTACCTAGAGGGGTGGAACTTGAAACTCACCCACTGACTTGAAGTTGAGTCAATCACTAATGGCCAGTTATTTAATTAATCATCTGTATGTGATGAAGCTTCCATAAAATTACAGAAAGATGGAGTTTGGCGATCTTTTGGATTGAACACATGAAGATGATGGGAAAGTGAAGTACCCCTTCCCATGTATCTTGCCCTACGCATCTCTTCCATCTAGTTGTTCCTGAGGTATATTCTTCTATAATAAAGTTTTAGTCCAGTGAGTCAAATGTTATCTTAAGGTTTGTGAGCTGCTCTAGCAAATTAATGGAACCCAAGCTGGAGTTCCTGGGAACCTCTGATTCACAGTCGACTGATAAGGTACAAGTAACAACCTGGACTTATGATTGGCATCTGAAGCTGGGGTGGGGGCAGTCTTGTGGGACTGAGCCCTCAACCTGTGTGATCTGATGCTGACTCCAAGTTGATGATGTCAGAATTGAGTTAAATTGTAGGACACTCAGCTAGTGTTGCAGAATTTCTTAGTGTGGATCCCTTTCCCGCCCTGCTTCAAACACATGCGCACACATTTGGTGATCAGAAGTATTGAGAATAGAGGAAAAACACACAGAAGAGTTTTTCCTTTACAGGGCATGGGATTGATTGGTGGAGAGCCAGGACCATTGGGGTAGAGCTGTTGAAGGGACTGTAGAATGAGTGATTTGGGGGTCTATGGGCAGCAGGATGTGGGAACCAGTGATTCTGAGGTGTGGATAATGGCTCCAGGGGGAGGTCAGTGTGTAGTGGTGGACAGTGGGCGTGAGGAACTAGGTGATGATGACATAAGTGGGCTGTGAAGTCAGATGACCTCTGGTACAGTAATTGCATTCTACCTGGGTTGTTGATACTGCAGTAATATTTAAGGAGCATTTATATGCCATACATTGGCTGAGTGCTTTTTGAGTATTATAAATTTATCTAAAAAGTATGAAGATGGGGAAACTGAGGCTGAAGTGAGTTCTCCAAATTGTCACAGCTAGATGATAGAAGAGCTGGGATTCAAAAATGCATTGATTTGGCTCTGTATTTCTTATTGTCCCCTGTGATACCTGTTCCACACTGTAGGAGGCTCTTGGGAGGACAGCTGAGTGGCTGTCACCATGTGGCACACTCTCTGCAGAGAGTCTCCACAGAGCCGGGATGTCAGAGTACTTCTTGAGCCTTCAGAATCTCTTTTTCAGACTCCAGCCCACCTTGGCCTAATATTGCTGGTAGTCTGCAGATGTTCACCCATCCTTGGGCTCCTAGGAAGATTGGAGTTCTAAGATACAGAGTGGTGAGGCCCAGTGTGAACATGACAGCCAAGGAGAATTTGCCCACAGGATCCAGCTCACATCCTGCCTCTGTGGCAATGTGACAGCTCCTGTGAAGTGGGAGGGGAGCGGCAGAAGCAGGATTGTTTTTAGAACTGGGCTAGCTAAAACAAAACATGATCCTTTTGCAGTGTGAACTATGTATGGGTGATGTCATATCTTCCAAACCTATTTGCTGTAGTGGGAGAGATTTTTTAGAAGTCTTTATTCATTTATTTTTTTTTTTTTTGAGAAAGAGTGTGTGCGTGTGGGTATCGGGCAGCGGGAGAGGTAGGGAGAGGGAGAGAATCTTACCCAGGCACCATGCTCGGCATGGAGTCTGACATTGGGCTTGATCTCATGACCTCAGCCAAAATCAAGAGTGGGACACTTAACCAACTGAGCCATGCAGGCACCCTGAAATTTTTTTAAGTTTTATTATAGAAAATTTTAAATGTACAGTAGAGAAAATAATACAATGAACCCGAAATGCCCGTTATCACCCAATCTCAGTAATTATCAACTATCTGCCAGTGTTGTTTCACCTGTTTCTTCCCACTTACTTTGTTTTGACCAGAATATTTTTTTAAAAAGTTTATTTATTTATTTGAGAGAGAGAGAGAGAGAGAAAATGAGCAGTGGGGAGGGGCAGAGGGAGAGAGAGAAGCAGAATTCCTGCTGAGCAGGTGTCTCTATGTGGGGCTCTATCCCAGGACCCTGAGATCATGACCCGAGTTGAAGGCAGACACTTAACCAACTTAGCCACCCAGGACCCCCTTGACCATAATATTTTAAGATAAATCTCGGATACCATGTCATTTTACCCATAAATACTTCAGCATACAGGTCCTGATGTGGACTTTGTTTCTCAAAGCCACTGAGCCATTACCAATCTAACAGAAGCTCCCCAAGAGTAAGTAGCTCCTGCATCTGACACTCTGTAGTCAAGTTTTTCTGATTATCTAAAACATGACTTTGTTAACTTTTTACAATAAAAATTTTAGAAGGAGGAAAGCTAAGCAAGTAATATAATGAACCCCCAAATGCCCATTGGTCAGTGGGTATCAGTGTGATAATTTTACAGTTACCAAGTCACGCCCAGTCCTTTGTCATCTACACCTTACTTTTCCCATATCTTTTCTCTTTTGCTGGATTATTTTGAAGCAAATCTCAAACACTGCATCATTGTACCCATAAATTTTTCAATATATAAACCTGAAAATAAGGGCGCCTGGGTGGCTTAGTGGGTTAAAGCCTCTGCCTTCGGCTCAGGTCATGATCCCAGGGTCCTGGGATCGAGCCCCACATAGGGCTCTCTGCTCAGCGGGGAGCCTGCTTCCCCCTCTCTCTCTGCCTGCCTCTCTGCCTACTTGTGATCTCTGTCAAATAAATAAAATCTTAAAAAAAAAAACAAAAACCTGCTTCCAAACACAGCAATGAGAAAAGGTATTTCTGAGATAATTGGGTTATTTTGAATATAAGCTGAATATTAAAATGATACAGAATTACTAGTAATTTTCTCAGGCATAATAATCTTCTAGGAGATTTATGTGAAGTATTTAGGCATGAAGTATCATGACATCTGCAACTTCCAAATGATTCAGCAAAAAATGCGTACATACACATATGAACCTACTTGTGACTGTGTGTGTATAGAAAAATTAAGCAAATATGGCAAAATACTAACTGTTGAAACTAGGTGGAGGGTATATATGTGTTTCTAGTACTAATCATTCAACTCTTCTTTCTGTTAGAAAACTGTGATTAAAAGTTTTGGAAAGTGGCGCCTAACTGGCTCAGTTAGTAGAGCATGAGACTCTTGATATTGGGGTCCTGAGTTTGAGGCCCATGTTGGGCATAGAAATTTCTTTAAAATATTTTAGGGGTGCCTGGGTGACTCAGTCAGTTAACATTCCAGCACTTGATCTCACTCAGCTCAGGTCTTGATCTCAGAGTCGTGAGTTCAAGCCCTGCATTAGGTTCCATGCTGGGGGTGGAGCCAATGCAAAAGAAAAAAAAAAAAAAAGGAAGAAAGAGAAAGCGGCGGGGGGAAAGAAAGAAAGGTAGATTTTAAAAATAAAGTAAAAATACTGGAAAATAAGTGACTCAGATCAGTTGTTTTATTTTTTTTTTAAGATTTTAAAAATTTATTTATTTCACAGACAGAGATCACAAGTAGGTGGAGAGGCCAGGCAGAGAGAGAGGAGGAAGCAAGGCTGAGCAGAGAGCCTGATGTAGGGCTCTATCCTACGACCCTGGGATCATGACCTGAGCTGAAGATAGAGGCTTTAAACCCACTGAGCCACCCAGGGGCCCCTCAGATCAGCTTTTAAGGTATGTTATTAACTAGAACCAAATCCACTTACTACATTGTAACCAAGACAAATTTTCCATTGATGTTTCCCTTTAAAGAACTGTAAGTTAAGGAAAAATGTGAAAAATCTTCAGGGTCTCTCTGGTCTTTTCTGTCAATGTTCTCACAGCTGGGATGGGCTCAGAGCAATCTCATTATATTCTTTAAAAACAGTTACTTTGTTTTTTACTAGCAAATAAGAATATAAAAATTACCTGTAATTTTACCATTACCCAAATAATATATCTGTTAACATGGTAGTATATTTCATTCCAGATAATTTTCTTTTTGTGCATGAGTGCATTTGTAGATGTGTACATGCATGTATGTGTGCATATGTATGTATACCCACATTGTTCAGTGAAAATGGAATCATACTGTTTAGTACATGTTTTGATTTTTACTTGTCAGTTTAACATATTTTCTACTGTAATTTAATTTCACATAACTTTATGTTCTCAGGATGGCCTATAAATTATTTAAGCAGTCTGTAATTATTGGTTATCAAGATGTTCTAGCCTTTTTATTTTGTTATTAGTCATGCTGTGGTAAAACTGCATTTAAATTTTTGTGCAATACAAATGATTTTTTATGATACAGTTCTAGAAATAAGTTTTTGGGTCAGCTGCATGGATGCTAAATGATGTATGTGTCCATGTGTGGGACCCTGGCACAGTTTCTTCTCTCATCTGTCCCTCTGTTCATCTTATTTTTCAGATCTCTACCTTTTTCCCAGAAAAGCCAGAAATGACCAAGTCCCTGGTGAGTTCTTTTTGTTCATATATTTGTTGCTTTATTTTCTAGTGGATTTTAGGAAGCATTTAATAATCCATACAGTAAAATGGACAAGCACAAATAAATAAAAACTAAGATTGGGTGGGGAAAAGAGGTGACTTATTAACTCTAGGTCAAGCTTGCAGTATAGATATATAAGACTTGTGTGATTTTATATAGCTATGAACTTTGAAGTGTGAGATTATCTCTGATCTTCCTGAAAGACCTAGCAATAATGGAAATGAGATACTGATTTATATTGTTGATAAGTAATTTATTTCACCTGTACTAAAGATACCATGGTTCCTGATGTTTGAGAAAAATTTTAATGGCTCTTCAGATGGTTGGAGACAGAACAACAACACTGTTAGTGGAGGTGCGCTGATAGGTTTTCTGTTGTTATAAAGCAGTGCTTCTCACACTTGAGCATCACTACAGATTCTGCTTTAATAGTGTTGGGATTCCCATAGGATGTCATTGCTGCTTGTCCAGGGACTACCTGCTGAAGCAAAGTTTTGAGGTTTTATGATGAACAGGTATTTTGTCAGATGGTTTTTCTGCATCAGTTGGTATGGTAATGGGATTTTACTTCTTAAGTCTGTTGCTATGGTGGATCACAATTGATTCATTTTCTTTTCTTTTTTTTTAAAGAATAAAATGTATTGTCTTCTCATGCAGCAGGAGGCCCTGCTGTGCCCTCAGACACCCCCTTCCCCCCTACAATTGATTGATTTTCACATCTTGAGCCAGTTTTGCAACCTTTGAATAAACCCCATTTGATTATGGCATATACTTCTTTCTATTTATTTGTATTTGTTGATACTTTGTTAAGGATTTTGGTATCATATTTATGAGGGATGCTGATCTATTTATTTTATTACTACTATGTATGGATTAAAGTTCCAGCTCCTCACCTGGCTTTTTCTCACACCACACCTTTGGAGCATGAAAGGGGCATATCTCTTTAGTTAGTCAGGAGTGCGAGTCTGGGCTACTCACTGGGTGTTCGCTGATGGGTTTGGGGTCAGGCTCAGAGGTTTTGTTTGTTTTTTTAATTTGTTGTGTCTGCCTTCCGTGTGTTTTGCCTACAAGTTTTCTGCCTTTCTGTGCCTTTGCTGGTCTTTTAGCTAGAGAGAGCAGACTTTTCTTTGAGCTCTCTTTGTGTGCTCTTGTTGGTGATACTGCGTTGTAGGCTTTTCTAGCACCTGTAAGGACTGTATGAAGCAGTCTTTGGGAACTCATGTTATGTAGTTTTGGGTTTCCGGTTCCTCAGCAGTTTGACTTCTTTTCTTTAGCCTTACAGAGTCTTCTCATATTTGTTTTATGGATGATGTCTATGGTTTCTAGATGTACTTAGTGGGATGAGAAGGGACAAGTGCATCTATTTCCATCTTTCCAGGAATGGAAATCAGTTCACTGATTTTTTTTTTTTTTTTAAGGAGGACTTGTTTTATATTAAGCATATTCCTCTTTTTTTTTGCATTTTACTGTGAATTTAATTATGGAAAGTGCTAACTGTATCACTCTAAGACTTGAAAGTTGTCTAATTTGTTAAGCATATTCTTACATACTTTTTTTCAATTATATTTACCTCTTTGTTCTTTGCATTTTAACATTTATTTATTTATTTTTAAGATTTCATTTATTTATTTGACAGAGAGAGAGAGCACAAGTAGGCAGAGCAGCAGACAGAGGGAGAGGGAAAGTCAGGCTCCCCACTGAGCAGGGAGCCTGACGCAGGGCTTGATCCCAGGACCCTGGGATCATGACCCAAGCCAAAGGTGGGCACCTAACTGACTGAGCCACCAGGTGCCCCTGCATTTTAACTTTTAAAAGTAAATATTTCATTTGGAATATCACAGAACTGTTACTTGTGTTTATTCAGTCACATAATTCTTTGAGGCTTCATAGAATGTTGCTTGGATCTCAGATTCCAGTCTTCAAAGGTAATCACTGTGAACTTTATTGAATTGCTTGTTTTAATACTTTCATATGTGTGGGGCACCTGCGTGGCTCAGTGAGTTAAAACCTCTTCCTTCAGCTCAGGTCATGATCCCAGGGTCCTGGGATCGAGCCCCGCATTGGGCTCTCTGCTTAGCAGGAAGCCTGCTTCCTCTTCTCTCTCTCTCTGCCTGCCTCTCTGCCTACTTGTAATCTCTGTCTGTCAAATAAATAAATAAAATCTTTAAAAAAAATACTTGCATATGTCTAAGTAGCATGTTTATATTGGTACCACTTGGCTTTCAACTTTAGGCAGTATCTACTGGCTTCATACAATGGAGAATGAGGATTTAACTCTCTTTGAAACACTTAGGCCCTCAACACTCACATGCACATTTCTTATGTTTCCTTACGATAGGAATATTATAGTTTTGGATAAATCAATAGCCTGTATTTAATGTGAGGATTATTTTAATTATATTCACAGCTGCACCATTTACTTTACCTTTTATGCACTACTTTTTGTTTTACCTGTAATCAGTAATTGGTTTAATCATTAGTTTCATTTTTTTGTTTGTTTGTGTATGTGTACATTGTTATATGGCAATTAATTCCATGTTATATGGCAATTAATTCCATAAGTCTTCCCAGGTATAGAAATATCTTTTCAGTATGTTAAAATATATTAGGTAGTAACAGTAATGGTAATCACAGGCCTTACTATAGTGCTTGCTATTTTCCAGGCAGCACGGTCTCTATTAACTATTTAATTATAACCTCTATGAGGTATCTGTAATCATTCTCACTTTTCAGAGGAGGAAACAGATCCACAGAAAGGGTTAGTAACTTGCCCAAGATTGTTCCACTAGTAGTGTTGAAGCCAGGTGTAAGCCCAGATAATTTGGCTTTAAAATATAGGCTCTTAATTTCATCTCTAAAGAAACTTCTCTCATGGTCTTTGACCTGACCTGCTTGCAGTGTTCTCTGTTTGATACTCAGCTGCTAACTTGGAGTCTCCCTTTGGCATAGTCCTAGGAATTCCTTTCATGTTCCTCAAGGGTTGGATCTCTTGTTTTAGGCTCTTTCTTGATTTATGCTCTCATTTTTTTTTTCCTAAGATTTTATTTATTTATTGGACAGACAGAGATCACAAGTAGGCAGAGAAGCAGGCAGAGAGAGAGGAGGAAGCAGGCTCCCCGCTGAGCAGAGAGCCCGATGCGGGGCTCGATCCCAGGACTCTGGGATCATGACCTGAGCTGAAGGCAGAGGCTTTAACCCTCTGAGCCACCCAGGCGCCCCTATGCTCTCATTTTTTAAAAGATTTTATTTATTTATTTGACAGAGAGAGAGATCACAAGTAGGTAGAGAGAGAGGGGGAAGCAGGCTCCCTGCTGAGCAGAGAGCCCAATGTGGGCCTCTATCCCAGGACCCTGAGACATGACCTGAGCCGAAGGCAGAGGCTTAACCCACTGAGCCACCCAGGTGCCCCATGCTCTCATTTTTAGAGCCTGTTATACAGTGGCTCTTTATAAAGGGTGGGTAGGAAGTGAATTTTTTGAGACCTTGTGTATCTGGAAATGTCTTTATTTTACTCTCAGTAACTTCATAGGTTGGTTGGGTGTATGTTCTAGATTGTAAATCTTTCTTCTTCTTCTTCTTCTTCTTCTTCTTCTTCTTCTTCTTCTTCTTCTTCTTCTTCTTCGATTGTAAATCATTTTTACTCATAGTTCTGAAGCCATTGTTTTTACTCTTCCATCTCATTTTCTCTTATTGAATTTGGTAATAAGAATAATTGCCCTCAAAGATGTCCACATCCGAATCCCTGGAAAGTGTGAATATGTTACCTTACATGTCAGAAGGGACTTTGCAGATGTGGCTGAATTAAGGATCTTGAGGTAGAGAGATTATGCTGGGTTATCTGGGTGGTCCCAGTGTAATCACATGGGTCCTTACAAGTGAAAGAGGGAGGCAGTAGTCAGGGGAAGATTTGAAAATGCCACTCTGCTGGCTCTGAGATGGAGGAAGCAACTGGGACCTTCTAGAAGTTGTGTAGGTCAAGGAAATGAATTCTCCCCTTGAGCCTCCAGGAGGAATGTAGCCCTGCTAAGTTCTTGATTTTAGCCCAGTAAGATTCATATTGAAATTCTGGCTTCAGAATCATAAGATAATAAATTTGTGTTGTTTTAACTTTGTGATAATTTGTTACAGCAGCAATAGGAAACCATTAGAAATTTTGGTACCTTGTAGGTACCTACTGGAGGTAGATTTGGAATTCGGTAGTGTGTAGAAACTGTAAGAATTTTGAAGAACAATAGCAAGAGCCTAGATTTCCTTGAACAGACTGGTAGTGGAATGTGGTTGTTAACCACTGTGCTAGAGGACTCAGAAAGAGGTGAGGGGCGCAGTAGGGAAAACCTGTGTTGTTTTAGAGAACACCTAAATTGTTATAAACAAAGTCTTGATAGAAACGGTTGTTAAAGGTACTGCTGGTGGTGACTACAGGAAATGAGGAGCATGTTACTGGAAACCGGAGGAAAGGGTACCTGTTGTGCAGTGGCAGAAAGCCTAGATGAAGTTTGTCCTGTAGTTAATGTGGAAAGCAGATTTGTCAATGATGAACTTGGGTTTTTCTCTGAGAAGATTTCTAAGCAAAGGGTTGAAGATGTAGCAAGTTTATTCTTCCTGATTATAGTGAAATGTGACAGTTGAGATGGATTGAGGGGACAACTGTTAAGCAAAAAGAAACCAGACTTGATGACTTGGGGAATTTTCAGGCTATCAGGATTCCAAAAGATGCCAAAATTAGTTTGACAGTCAAGAAACCTCTTGAGAGAAAGCCAAGGGTGTGGATAAGTGTTTTGTGTATTTTTCTAGGTTTTTAGGTAATTAGCAGGAGAAATAAGGTGGAGTGCATGTATTCTATTTTTTTAAGAACCAGAAGTCTCAATCTTGCCTTTTATTTTTTTAATCTTATTTTTTTTTATTGAAGTATTGTTGACACACAGTATTAATTAGTTTCAGCTGTGCAACACAGTGATTCGATGAGTCTGTACATTATGCTATGCTTATCACAAATGTAGCTACCATCTGTTGCCTTACAACACTGTCACGATACCGTTGACTCTGTTCCCTCTGCTGTACCTTTCACCCTCACAACTCACTCATTCCATAACTGGAAGTCTGTACCTTCCACCACGCTTCACCCATTCTACCTCTACCCCCTGGCAACCATTAGTTTGTTCTCTGTATTTATGGGTTCGTTTCTACTTTGTTTGATTGCACGTGTAAGTGAAAACATGCTATTTGTCTTTCTCTGACTAGTTTCACTTAGAACAGTACCGTGAGTCCATCCATGTTGTCATAAATGGCAAGATCTTATTCTTTTTTATGTCTGAGTGATACTCCATGATTCCACAATATATGTACATACCACGTCTTTATTTAACAATTTTTTAAAGATTTATTCATTTATTTATTTTTTTTTAAAGATTTTATTTATTTATTTGAGAGAGAGGCAGTGAGAGAGAGCATGAGCGAGGAGAAGGTCAGAGGGAGAAGCGGACTCCCCATGGAGCTGGGAGCCCGATGCGGGACTCAATCCCGGGACTCCGGGATCATGACCTGAGCCGAAGGCAGTCGTCCAACCAACTGAGCCACCCAGACGTCCCTCATTTATTTTCTAGAGAGAAAGAGCATGTGCGAGTAGGGAGTGGGGCAAAAGTAGAGGGAGAGAGAGAATCCCAAGCAGACTCCCTGCTGAGCATGTAGTGCAACATGGAGCTCCATCTCATGACCCTGAGACCATGACCCAGGCTGAAACCAAGATTTGGAAGCTCAGCATCTTTAT